GTGCCTGGCCCAGCGTTTGGCTGAGTTAGGGGGTGGATGGGGAGATGATAGATGGATGGGTGAGTGGTGGGTATGTGGGAGGGCGAGTAGAAGAATGGATGAGTAGATATGCACCGTCTGGAAAAGTCTGCATACTTTTATCATCATTTCTTACAGTTCATCGTAATGATCATCTGTATTCATGACACCATTTAGGTGTTGTGGGAATGAATGCATTCTTCCAGCTCTCTCAATAGCTAGATTTTTTTTTTTCCGGGCAGTGTTAGAATCCTGATTTATAGCTATACCTTTTCTCCTAGTAGCATCAGGTCTGCTGCTGTGGATGCTAGACTTCTGTAAGTTTGGGGGCTCAGGGCACCAATCTCATGGCAAACAAGGACTAAGGGTTGGATTGAAGCTATGTTTTCTTAGAAACACAATTTTTGCCCAAATTATTTGTTTACATCTCAATATTTTTAAAGTAGTTGTTTTCTACCAATTATTCTATTCATAGTTTATATAATATTAAAAATAGCAACTGCCCATATCAAAGAATATTATTCTGTAAACTGTGGCTTTGGAGATTGGAGGAGGGACTAAAGCTCTCCAAACCACCCAGCAGTTTAGCCCTGCCACTGGGCCTAGCAGATTCCCATTCTTGACTTGATGAGTGGTTCGATTACTAGTAAGTGTTCTCCTATTTCTATCTTGATTACTGGCAATAACCATGTGTCTTCTGATCAATATGGCAATCTCATTTTCTGTGCAAACCTAGCTCATTCAGAGGCCGTTAGATCTGTGTTCTTTCATCTAAACCTCTGAACAACCTCCTCTGTGATAGTCTGATTACTTTCATGAAGAAGAAGTTGCCGAAAACCCCATCTTTGGGGCTGCTGCTTTGAACTCTTTATTTCTGTGTCCAATTTAAAACATAATTAATTGGTTCTGAATTACTATGCAACTTGCTTGTGTCTTCCTTCCTTTTCTGATGATTCTGAGTAAGGATTAAAAGGATATTTTTCATGCAAATTATTTGTAAGCGTGATTCCTGGCACAGGCTACACCACTTGCTATTCTTATAAACCCATAATATGTCTTAGTAAAAGCTGCTGGAGTCAGCTCTTGGTGGACTTTGACCTCTGTGTATCATCTGTATGAACATGTGACTTTACAGCAGTTCTTCAACTTCCTCCTTCATTCTGGTCCCCCATAGCGCCCCATTTCCCAGTGGAAGCGGGGAGCGGAAGAGCGAGGCAGAGGACTCTTGACAGTCACACGGTGAAATGAGTTAGGATGAAACTATTCTTTGTTACGTGCTCACTGGAGAGTAAAGCACAGCCGAATTACTCAGTAGACTCCCTCCTCCGGACAGGAAGTCATCAGGCTTCCCGTAATTTCTCCCCTAAAATGTCACACTTCAGGCCATGTCAAGTACAATTACTCTTTTTATCTGCAACCTCCCTCTTCCGTTGCAGAAACCTGAACCCCTCTCCATCTCAGTAGCCAGCATAAGTCAGTATGACGAGAGGCAGGGACAAACACAGGCCACCCCTGAGCTGCCCCGACCTGGAGTCAGTGGGTCTTACGGCAGTCAGGCTTCCCCATTTCTCCTCGGGGTTCGTGGTTCGTGCAGACAGTGATGCTGGGCATTCCCCTTCATCTTGCTACTAAATTGACTGAACCTATGTGGCTCACCCTCCCAACAGAGGAGAGATTCTGTCTGTAAAGCTGCTATACCCTTTGCCTTACGCAATATCCCGCTCATGAATTTGTCTTACGTTACGGAGGAAAAGAAGTGTTGAAGTGTTTCATGGTACTCACCAGATGCTTAGTGTTGAGTCAAATACAGACCTTTCCAGGGACTGTGTGTGTCTGTGCACATGCTCATGTGTAGAATGGGCTGGGAGAGGGCTCCCAGCTCATTCTAGGAATATATTTTAATACAGTTTTGTTTAGTTAGTTTCTTTATATTCCTATAATTAAAGTTGTACAAACCTAAAATTAATATTGTTAGGGAATAATTCCTGCTCTGAAATTCCAGATATCAATGTTCTATTTCATTTGGGTCACTCCAGTTATTTTGAATCCACCCATATAGAGTGTGGATTTTCATTATTTGCTCTGTGCCTCCTATTACTAAGGATGATTAAGACTTGCCCCTTTTGACAGCTAATAAAATAGACTTAATATCCAGTCCTGAGAAGAATTCCTTATTAAGCACCCGGACCTGATCGCTTCATCTTTGTAAACATAAATGATGTAAACAACATATAAGCATTCTGATGGATATGGAAATACTAGTAACAGTTAACACCACAGCACACTGTGTTGTTTTTTCTCCCTTAAAGGACATCACAGTAAGATGAGGAGCAGTGTTTTCCCCAAAGCAGATGGTCAGCCCACAGTCAGAAATGTGAATGCTTGGGGGCTGTATAGGCCTCTGAATGTGAAGAACTTTGCGAAGGATTTAAATAGACTCCCTCTCTCATTCTTTAGGTTCATTTATCCTTGCTGCCTGTTGTATAAACATTGAGAGACATCCATGCAAAAATAATCACCTTAAAAAAGAGGCATTGAATCAAAGCCAGCTGGATTGCTTATATGCCCTTAAAAGTTGGTATCCTCTTTTATGCAGTGTGATTTGTTTAAAACTAAACAGGCGAGTCTACAGTCTTCCTCTTGCCTTTTTAGTCACCCTTGGGTACATTTTTCTTGGTTCAGCGCCGCCTGGCATATCTTGACATGCAGTTGTGCCTTCACAAAATGTGAGTTATTGCTCTTACATATGAAATGTTCAGAATCCTGACAAAACATTAATTAGGATGTGAAAAGTCAATAAAAACTAGGACTCTTTTTATGCATTGAGAAGTGAGACCACAGATTAGGGACATGGGATTTTATGAGGCAGAGAAACGGATGCGTCACATCAAGTGAAAAAAGGGAGTAACGTTCAATGATTTATGACACAGACATTTTATTTCCCATTAAAATTGTGTGTTGTCATGAAACCATTTAAAATCTATTCAAAACTTTGTTGAATTTTTCAATTCAGCTAGCTGCCCATGGTTTGAGGTCCTTAGGAGCCAACAGAGTATTGTGTGTGCCTGACGAGGTATGGCCCAGAGCCAGCTCTGACAGTGCCACACACATTTGTTTCTTGTTAGGGGGTCTGGTTGATGGACTGGGACCTGGCTGGCTACCCCTGGTGTGAGGGCGCTAAATTGAGCTGCATCTGAAGTCGTGCGGAGTCATACTTCTAGAAATTTTAGGTACAACTGCTACATTCATAGCCCAAGGGAACAGATATAGATGCTTAAAGTTAGTGATTTTTAAACTCTTTGAACAGCAGCTCTCATTAAGAAACACATTGGGACTCATTATACATTATACATTTCCCCCCAAATATGTATACACATGCTTTGAGTAATTATAAAGGCGGTGTTTATTAAAATACATTTTATTTTCAAAATTGAGCTATCAGCTGTTAAAGCATGTATACATTTTTGGAGGACACCCTGTGTATGTACACACCTATACATATGTACATGACACATTATACGTAGGTTTCTAATGAAGGCAAAAGTTTCGTGAAATGATATTTATCATTATCACTTGAGTGGCACTCATATCTTTAATTTTTAAAATACTGCTTAACAGCTACTAAGTTAATTTTGTAGCTCACAGATCGAAAAATACTGGCCCAAGTAGTCTGCCTATACCCAGGACGCCCACATCACTGTAAGCAGGGCGCACCCGTGAAACGGTGCCGTATTTTGACCTACCAGTTGAGGCAGTGACATAACAAATCCTGTGGTTCATTTAGTAGATCCAGTTTCCTTCAGATACGGCCTTTCTCCAGATTCCATTTGCTAAGGTCACCACCAGAACTTCTTTATCATATCAAAGGCTCTAAAGAAGTCAGTTACTGTTAAATGGATAAACACATATTTTACTCCCTGCCATCAAATTTACATTAAATTGATTTGATGTCAATATCAATTTACCTTACAAAAATCTGAACATAAAGGAATCAGCATATTTTTTTAACTAAATCACTAGGTGTTATCTCTACATCTTGCTTACATTGGTCACGTCTTTAAATAATATTTAAGAACGCCTATATTGTTTGGAATGATAGATCTTAGTGTTTTCTCATATTACCTTACTTTCTGAGGCAGTGGTTATTAAAATTTGGGGGTCAAGACCTATTTGAATGATAAGAGCTATGGCTCATCTCCCTGGAATGAACAAAATTTTTATTCAGCGGACCCGCATTACAGAAGCCTTAACCTGAGTAGAATAGAAGTCACCAATCATATCTTCTCTCCAGAACTCAGTCAGCATCTCTTAGAATTACCCTGACTGGAAAGAAACATTGTACCTCATCCTGTTGGTATCTACACCAGTAGCTTCTTAGTTGATCCTACCAGGGCCCCTTGCACATGTGCTCACTCAGCAATGAATCTACTGGGTTGGGACCAAAATCATGCTAGGAAACAACCCTGTTTGTCCACACATCAGCCTGATTGGGAGCAGCTGCTGTAGGGGAGCAGCAAGAATAGCTGGAGACAGCCTCCCAGAAGTGTTTGAAGCTGTTTCCAAAGTCATCAAGTCATGGGTGGGACATATCATACTAGTATCTCTTTTTAAAATGCATTTATTAAAATATTCACTAGATTGTACCAAATATTGTAATTTTTGACAAAAATGTAGAACATTCAACGCTGAGCTGAAAGCCCATGTGACTCTTAAGCTAGTAAGATCTGTAAACCACCAGTAGGGCACCGCTGCCCCCTTTTGGTAACCTAGCTTAATTGCAGGTTCAAGGTTTTAGAAGGATGGGAAGCCTATATTACACATAGAGATCATAATATTAGAGTTATAAAATAATGGGAAGTGTCCATTATTCTATATGCTGGACAGAGAGGGCCTGTGCTGTTAGAGCTTGCTTTGCTTCCGCCCTTTGCATTTCACTGACTGTACAGGCCCTGATTTCACGTGTTCTCTGTGCTTCTTGGCAGGATTGGAGGATCCATCCCCATCGTGTTCTCCTACTTTGCAGAAGTGCTGGCCCGAGAGAAGCGAGGCGAGCATCTGAGCTGGCTCTGCATGTTCTGGATGATCGGCGGCATCTACGCCTCCGCCATGGCCTGGGCCATCATCCCACACTACGGTAAGAGGCTGGCCTCCCACCAGCCAGGCGGTCACCTTGTTTTCAACCCGCCTCCATTCCTACCTTTTCTCTCTTCTACATGCTGGTTTGAGAAGAGTACTCTCATCACCATGTTTCTCCCTGTTGCGATGTCTAGGCTTTTCCCCCCATGCAGAGGTCTGTATAAGGTAAGACCTTGCCAGGGGGTGTGTATGGAAATACTGTCTTATTTTGCTGTCTTTAGAGCCATTGCTTTCATTTGTTTCCTATGTGCTATCAGCTCTGGGGTCCCTGCCCAGGTGGACCCACGAGGATACACAGAGTATAATCAGCATATAAGGCAACAGGACCCCCTTACAATTGTCTGGTGACTGTAATATACACCAGGCGCACACAAATGCCTCTATTGATCCCCTCTGGGACCAGTCCAAAGCTCAGACTGTGTCAGCCCTGCCTCTTCCAGCAGCTCAGAGCTGGGATGGCAGCAGGAAGGGTCCTGTCTTGTGGACTGTTTGATTTGCAGAACATAAGAGGTGACTTTCCTGTCCTTGCTCCACAGACCCCTCAGTTCTCCTAAGTCCTTCCTGCTCCTGCCACCCAGAATACTTGAAGGTTTCATGTTTCTGAGCAGAACTGTCCCACTCAGAAGCCACAAGCTCCCAGTTGCTTCACCCACAAACAGAGCAATTCAGGGAGAAGTAAACAGAATCCAGGAATCGAATTTAATGTATAAGGAAAGGAGAGGGGAGGCGTTCTGGTTATATTTGTGTGTGTGTGTGTGTGTGTGTGTGTGCACATGAGTGCACACACGCACAAACAGGCTCGAGTTTGCAAAATATGAATACTATATAAATTAAAACCATGTGTGACGAAAAAACTCTTTGTCTAAAATCTAATCAATCTGAAATTAGATTTCAGAAATAATTCTTGGCTCATTTTCTGTTTTTTCACCTTTTAAAATTTTATTTATTATTTTTAGAACAGAGGAACTTTTCATTATAAAGCATAGTTCTGTTAGGGAACAACCTTAAGTGAATTCAGCTCCTTGCTAAAATCAAGACAAGACAGAAGTCAGTATTCGGATGCAGCATCTTTTATTTTACCATTCTGAGTTCTAAAATTCATGTTGTACCACCTTTTCTTTTAATAAACCTAAAATGTTACGTGCAAAACAAAATTGTGTTTAACAACAAGAACAATACATAAGGAATTGGTTACTTGGCCCGAAGAGAACTTTTCTTTGCCAAACATTTGAGTGTGGGGCACCAAGCTCAAGGGCCTGGCTTACCTTTTTTAGACTGTTCACTCTGGGCCAGAGATGCCCTCATACTGGCAGTTACCCATATTCATCACAAAGCTCGTCTTCTGCCACCTCCTGAGGAATTTAAGGAGCTTCTCCTCCTTCATCTGGGACCTGAGGACCTCAGCCACCCTCAGAGCCTCCCTCTGCAGGGCTGCATCTGACTCCCGCCCCACTCCACTGGTGTCTCAAATGGAAAAGCCACTGCGCTATCATGTAAATAATTGCTTCTTAGCAACTATGTGTAAGGAGCCAGAAAGGAGATATAGAGCCTGAGCAGAGTGCAGCTGTACCCAGCATTGTTCCCAGAGCCACTGCTAGTCCATATGCAGCCTTTGTGCAAATTAAAATAAGGTACGTCGCTCAGGCGGACACGATTGTAGCCCACTGGCCATCTCTGCCAGGTACTCACACAGGGCACCTCCTGGCATGGATTCCTTCTGAGGCCAGCCTGTCCTGTGTCTCAGCCTCTGACAACAGCACAGCTCCTTGACTCCGGCCACACTATTCTCTGGAGCAGCTGGGCTCCTGGGCTTATTGCTGTCTCCTCCCTCGTCTTCCCATCCCATCATATATCAGAATTTCTCCTGCTGGCCTTCCTGAGCTCATAACTCAGACTGGCTTTTGCAGCCTGCGTATTTCCACCAGGCCTGAGCATGGCTGCTCTTGTTTTAGTTTTTTGGTTTTTTTCTCACTAGGCCTTTGTTCCTCAGGCTTCTGCCTTTTACACATCCCTGCCCTCGAACTGTGGGCGGCTCCAGATTTTGGCTCTGGCCTTGCCAACTGTCAGTCAGTGGCTGACCCTCAAAAATTTAGCCTGATCTCCACTCCTCAAGCACTCATAAGATATTCTTGTTTATAGCAAATGGCTGCTTCATCCATATATAACTGGAAAAAGGGGAGCTTATGGACCATAAACAATGCATGAAAAGCTACGAAAACAATCACAGTACAATAACATTAAATGCATCCGAGGCTCCCATTAATTTCTGTGTTGAAGGAACCTTGAGAAATAATGCCCTGGTTAAGAAATCCACAACAGAATATTAAAACCCTATGCCCGTGCTTTTTAGAAGGCTTTCTATGGCCAGAAGTGTGGCAAAAACAGCAGATTATTGCAATTAATCCTGTATGTATGTCAGCATCAACAGGGGAGATTTTTGTAAACTCATGCTGATTTCATTGTTAATGCTCTTACGACACGAAGAGTTTTAATTTTTCAAAATAATTTAAGTTTTAAAATCCTGTGCTGAGGCCTCTGGGGGTGATGATGTTCTATAACCTGGTGGGGGGAAGGAGTCAGAGGTATTCATTTATAAAATCTCACCAAGGTGGGTGCTGAAGGTTTGTGCACATTGCTACATGGATGTTACACCTTTTCATGAAAACTTTTTTAGTGGTAAAGCTAAGATTTTTTTCCAGATATGCTTCTATTTATTTATTTTTTAACTAATCCTTTAAATTACAGTTGACATTCAATATTATATTAGTTTCAGGTTTACAGCATAGTGGTTAGACATTTATATGACTTATGAAGTTATCNACAGTTGACATTCAATATTATATTAGTTTCAGGTTTACAGCATAGTGGTTAGACGTTTATATGACTTATGAAGTTATTNGTTAGACATTTATATGACTTATGAAGTTATCCTCCTGATAAGTCTAGTATCCACCTGGCACCATACACAGTTATTACAATATTATTGACTACATTCCCTGTGCTGTACTTTATATCCCATGGTTATTCTGCAACTACAAACTTGTACATCTCAATCCCTTTCCCCTTTTCACCCAGCCATCCCGCCCCCTCCCATCTGGCAACCATCAGTTCTGTGTATCTATGAGTTTGTTTCTGTTTTTCCATAACACTTTTTAATAAATGTTTACCACTTCTGCCACCCCCTGAAAACACCCAAGCTGGGGATAGTTTTTGAGGTGAGACCCCCAGGTGGTTCTCCCATGAGCCTGGTTTGCGATTCTTCAGCTCCCTGCCTCTCCCAGTGGGTGATCTCAGAAGGCCCGGGGTCTTCATCATGTGCATAGAGGGAGGGCTGTGAATGGGAGCAAAGAGCGGAGCAGCCTGCTTGCAGGGTCGACCCGGTCAGTCGCACTGGAGTTTCCGTATTGTTAGTTTCATCCAGGCTACAGGGTTTTTCCACCCATCAGGTTTGGAATTGCACTTTAAAAGTAACTTTGACATTCAGATGTCTCTTCTTTTCCATGACACATCTTTTTACTTTACTTAAAATAGACAAGGGGTTTAAAGTCCATCCACTTGCCTGGCAGCCTCTGAAAGAATGAAATCTTTCTATTTCCCTCTGAAATTCTGCAAGTGTAAAACAACTGAGGGTCAGGTCTTGGCCCCTCTTATGTTGGTAATAGAATTTGCTCTTGAGGGAAGGAGTCAATAATTGGCATCCACATGGCAAGTATTTAAAATGACAAATACATAGTCGTGAGAGGCGAACGTGCTCTTCCTTGTTTCTGGGTGTTGCCGTCTGCATTTATTGCGAAGTGGTCCGTGCACAAAGCCTTGAGCCTGATGATATGAGGCTTCAATTTTGGCTCCAGACAAACTTCTGATGCAAAGTAGACCTTCAGCTGATCGCGAAAGATGCTGGACGGAAATCTGGAAGGGTTCTTCTGCAGTCAGACACACCACCAGAAAGGGCTGGTGAAATAAGACGTGGGCTGTGCCCGGGATTCCTGGTGGACGGTGGGGTCCACCTGGCCTGCGGAGGCCAAGTGTCTGAAGCAGCATGATGGGGCTTTACCTTCACGTCACCACCCGGGGCTGAAAGTTCTGCTGGAGATGGATGGCCACCAACATCTGAAGGTTCCCAGCATAAACTACCTCACCTGCTCTGACAGGACCTCAGGAGGCAGAGAGCTTGGGTGTCATCATGCCAGGCCCTGTGACCAGCTCCATCCATTCGGGAGCTCCTGAGCTGTTTCTCCCCCTGTGGCAAAGAGCAGTCCCCATAAAGCAAGGGAGGCGGGAGAACGGCCCACCCAGAGGAAACGCCCTTGCCTTAGAAATCAGGTGCCTGCAGCAGCTGAGACCAGGGGTTAGCATGTGGCTCTTCTTGACCCCGTACCTGTTCTCAAGCCCATGACATCTGACCCACAGTGGGGGTCAGACAGCCATTCACAAAAGAGCAAGCACTGTGCGTGAGAACAGATCCTTCAGCCTTCCTCCCCCCACCCCCCACCCCCTAGTAATCAGGACACCACGGCATTTACTGGAAGCCCCAGCGCCTTGAAGGGGAAATGGGACGGGCGCTGAATCACAGGCACTTTCCCCCTTGGCTGCAGGCTCCGTGCCGCCCGTGGCAGTGCTGTCCACTCCATTAAACCCTCTGTTGTCATTTTCTCTTTTAAATTCGCGTGTGAATCAGATGAGGTGCTCTCCCTGCCGGGATGCAGAGAGTTTGCGACAAGGACATTCCATTAGCTAAGTGGGAAGGGTTTCGGTTCAGTGGGAAAGTGCCTCAGCTCCTAAAGCCCACAGCTCGGGGTGAACTCAGGCCAGGAGCAGCCTCGGGGCGTCCATCTGGCCCCACCTCCACCACAGACCTCATAGGGCCACGCTGGTGGCACCCAGAGCCAGAACCCAACCCAGCCCTCCCTCCACCCATAGCGAGGAGCAAAGTACCATTTGGCAGCGGTTAGGGGTGGTGATGAGATGGGGAGCAGGTATGACTACATGGGGTAGCCC